AAAGAGCCAACCAATTCTTAAAATCACTGATAACAAAGATAACCCAGGAGACTTCCCTTGGATGGAAGGAGGCTTTACCCATAGCCCTCCTCCACACCCATACTGCCGCTAAGCAACAGCTTGATCTTAGTCCTTCTGGGATGCTATATGGGAGACATTTTGTTTATAACAATGACCTCTTCCTAATCCAGAGGCTCAGACCCTCTGGTCTTACACCATGGCCACTGGGCAATTCCAACAAGAAATACCCTTGTGGGATGTCAACCTGGACCCAAAACATTCTAAACAGCCAACACTATATGCTCCAGGGACTCAAGTCCTAATTAAAGTCTGGAAAGATGGGTCCCCAAAGGCTCAACTCCAGCCCACATGGAAGGGCCCCTACCCTGTAATACTTTCTACCCCCACAACAGACAAGGTACCAGGGCACAACTCTTGGATTCACTACTCATGAGTCAAGCTGTAGAAGAAAAGAGAAGAGGGCACTCAGTACACCTGTGAGCCCCTGGGAAACCTCAGATACCTATCCAGGACTACAAGTGAGTGTCATTCTAATAAACATGCTCAATTTAAGTTTCTAGGAATAAGATTTCTCAGGATAGCTCTAAAGAGCCAACATAGCTTGGCAGAGGTTGTACTCCAAAACAGACAGGTGATAGATTTCTTGATCCCTGAACAAGGAGGGACTTGGGTCATCTTGAGTGAGATGTGTTGTTGCTGGGTAAATACCTCCAGCCAAGTTAAAGAAAGTCTCACAGTCCTCAAGAAAAACATTCAGATCCTACAGGATCTCAAAAAATGAGCTGGAAAGTCCTCAGGGTGGCTACAGTCTCTCCTTGGGGGATCCTTCTCCTGGCAAAGGGGAACGTGGAGTTGGCTAATGCCCCTACTAACCCATGTTATCACCGTATTAATGCTGCTTATGATTGTTTCATGTATTAGCAATTGGCTAACCCATTTTGTCTGCCCAGGTCAACAAGCTACAACATGCAATGCCAGTTCAACAAGGATATAGAAAACTACACCCAACCACAGAAAACATCACTCACCCTTAGACGGACACTGCTATAAGGACTCTGAGGCTTGAGATTAGCAAGAGAGGGAGGCCCAATGCCCCTCATCATCCCAGCTCAGCAGGAAGTAGCCAGAAAGACCTCGATGCCCCTATTCCCAAAGAATTGGGCCTCCCATCTCTTGAGGGGGGATTGTTAGGTAGTTAGAATAGGAAAAAAGAGTCCAAAATGACAGTGGCTAAAAGACAAAGAAAGGGAAAAGCTCGTGAAAATGGAACAAAAGAAAATCCAAGGACCAGACTGAGCACCACAGGTGAAACAAACAGACCTCCTGGCTAGCCCAATTTATATAGGACAAACTCAGGGGGAGGAGACAAAACATTTTTATAAAAAGAGGAGCCAAGATTGAGCCTCTCTCCTTTTTGGGTCAGCCTGTCTTCACACCTCCAGGATGTACTATCCTTTGCTCCCCAAATAAAACTGGGCTGTAACAAAGCTGTTAACACTGATCCGCCATTTCAAATCTTTACATTGAGACAGAGCCGAGGAAATTACACACTCCTCCAACAGTTGGGAATAAAACAAATATCCATACTGATATAAATAAATGATGTTATAAACAAATTTGGGGAATGAAAATCTTCCCTTACAGAAGATTTCCAATTAATAAAGAAGAAAGAGGTGAAATCTTAAATCACCAATTGGAATACCACAGTAATAACTGTTGCATGCAAGATCCACCAATGAAAGGTAAAAGTAGTGGCCAAAACTCCAAGTAGAAAGAGTATATCCGCATAACCTCAAAGATTCTCAACCCAAATTTACTACTAAATGTGGCAGTTTAAAAATATCACCCTAAATTTGAGATGCAGCTTATTTCTGCCCCCCGCTGAGTGCACTGGACTTCATAACCAGTGTCTACACTGGACTTCTAAGCATAGATTGGAAACTGAAAAATCCTAAAGATACTGGAGAAACTTGTCAGACTTGACCTTAACGAAGTAACCAAGGCTAATATAAGTCATGTTGATAATCATGTGTCCCCTCATATATATAAAAGACACATCCTTTCTGTGATATTTCTAAAAATTTAAAACCTTAGTCCAATCAGGAGAAAATATCAGACAAACTTAAATTCAGGGACACTCTTCAAAATATGTGATCACTATTCTTCACATAGCTGAAGGTAATAAAAGACAAAGAAAGACCAGAAACTATTATAGATTGGATGAGAACAAACAGATGTGATGACTAAACGTACTGTGGTATCCTGGATTGAATCCTAGCTCAGTAAAAGGGCATTAATGGAAAAACGAATAAACTCTGTAGTTTCATTAGAATTGTACCGATATCATTTTCTTAGTTTTGCTATATGTACCACGGTTTTGCAAAATGTAAGCAATTAAGGGAAACTGGGTGAAGAGTATATGGGACCAATCAGAGCAACTTAGTTATTAAAAATTTTTAAATAACGTTGACCAGAAAGAGTTAACTACATATTCTTTTATGAAAAGTTCATCATCAACTAACAGGCTCTTATGATTATACTGCGTTAAAAATGTCATGAGAATGCCCACATAAAATAATATACATTTGGTTCCAGGGAAAACATAGTTGGAGAGATGAGAAAGTGCTTTCTTCCTTAAGTTTGAATATGAACAGTTTCGCATATATTAACAATTTTTATTAATACTGAACTGCTAGGTCGCTTTTTCCCTCATTCCAGAGAGCGACTATGCTGCTCACAGTTATTTTAGTTTACATAAATTTGCTGTCTAAACTGCTAGAAAATAAGTTTACCAAAACTAAAATAACATCTGTTCACATTCATAAATAAAATTAGTGTACCACTTTTCTTGATGTGTCTAGTCAAAAATGTACACTGCTTTGACGTACATCTATGGGACACGGACAGAATCCAAGGTTCAGGTAGCAGGAATGAGTATAACAGATAGTAACCTCTCAGTTCAGTCAACAAGGCAGAAACTCTCCAGCTGATTTCTAGAGTGGGCATGGTGTATAGTTTGAAAGATAATCTTAAGAAACATACTGAACAATTTCTGTGCCGGAACTCATCCTAAGTGCTTTTACAAGACAAACATCCCAAATCTTCATAAAAAACCGTTAGTTAAGTACTGCACTACTATTAGCTTACTTTTAAAATTTTCGAGTGAGGCATGCTTCTAAAGGTACAGGCACTTTTCCAACACAAACTACCAGGAGCTAAGATCCAGCTCGCTGCTACCGCACCGCGCCGCGCCGCGCTGCGCCGCGCCGCTCCCGCCCTCTGCGCATGTGCATCCCCGCCTTCTCCTCCTGGCTCGTCCTTCCGCGGCCTCCAGCCCCTCGTGGGAAACAATCCCTGGCCTCCAGGTCCACGGGCGAGGGAGCTGCGGGTGAGCCCCGGAGGGTGGGGGCAAGGGCCGAGCGGGCTCCGCGCGGCTGGGAGAACCGGCCGAGGCAGCGGTGTCGGGTGGTGGGTTGGAGCCCCGCGAACACTGCGCGACCGCGGGAGTCTACAGCATCTGCAGAACTGAAGGGACGGCAGGCGAGGGCGCTTCTGCCTTAAGGGGCCAGAGTTCCGTGTGAGAACGCGGCCTTCAGGCTCACTCGGTCTGCAGGTGTTCCGCCCCTCAGCGGAGCGGGAGGCGCTGTCCTGTGGCCGCGGGTGGGGAGTGCGCGTGCGTGAAGTGTGCGCTGGGCCCACGGGGGTGGGGGGCGGGTAGGAGGTGCGGGGAAGAGCGATTGCGCCTGTGCGACTTGTTTTTGCGCGCTTCACGTAGTGACGTATGCGTCTCTCCTGCGCCGGGCTTACGGGGAGCCGGGAGGCTGTAGAAAACCATTGTCTCCCGCAGGGCCCAGAAATAAATGAATTTCCTGGACCAAATTGCCGCCTAGAGACTTGGTTTTCTTATCTGTCAAATGCAGACCTCTAGGGTGCTTGCCTCTTTGGGTTGTTTTGAGCGCCCACGTTTTGTCAGCTGCTGTTGTGTTCTGTGTAGGCACCTGGAGCTTGGACCCCTCAGTTAAGCCGTTTGTGAAATGGATTGAGAGGGGCTGGATCACCTAGCCACCAAAGCCTTTTCTTGGCTCTGTTAACATTACTCAGATCCTAAGTTTTTATTTGCTTTATCTTCATTTGTTATTTGTTGTATATAATCATGACACGGTGTCCTGAAGCCATCGAAGGCTGTGTGATGGTGGAAAGTCTGGGACAAATTTAAGAAGAGAGAGGTGAGCTGGAGATGAGCGGGGTGGGCACACAGGCTACACAGGAAATGTCACCTCTTTAGAGATTTGTGAAGCCATGGTTGGGGTTGAGAGGCTCACCAGCCATAGTTAAAATTCTGTCATTATCCGTCCCTAACACCTCTTCCTTTCCTAATTCTCCTAATTCACTCTTCGCTGAGGTTAGCTGCCCGCAAGCAGTGTTTCGTTGTTGATGGCATCTAGAGAAATGCTGAGGTTCCTGCTCCCCGTTGCCTCAGACATACAGAATGGTAGTGCAGACAGGTCCTTTTTGGGTTATCAGTTTCTTGCTGAAAGATGCAAAAAGAAATGAGCCCGAGAAGATGACTGGCTCAGATCATGCAGCTTGTTAGTGACAGAATCACAATTGAAAGTCAGGTCTGCAGATTCCTGGGCCACAGCCCATTTTGTCATTTTGTTAGGTCAGAGTTAGCTTTTTATTAAAAGATCGTTTTGAAAATTGTAAGCAGCTTAGAACAAACTTTAAAAAAAAAATAAATCTTGCCTTAAACACTCCCATCTCTTTTTTGAGAGGTTTCTTTGATTATCCGATCTCATAGGATTAATGGTGTCAGCAGATGAGAGTCAGATAGGACTCAGTGACTAAGCAACAACAGTAAGAACCTCAGTTTGACAACTCCCTAGTGTATCATTTTAGTTTACTGTTCTGTGTTAAGCATCCTCTCATGTTTTTAATTTTTCTGTGTCACAAAACCTAAATTGGTAATAAATCTTCCCAACCCAGGGATCGAACCCAGGTCTCCAGCATTCTTTACGGACTGAGCCACCAGGGAAACCCAGGAATAAATCAGTAAGAAGCAAATGTTTACAGTCACTCAGTGAAAAGTATAAGGTCTAATGTCAACATAAATGGGAGCCACACATGAGCAGGTAAGTAAGTGTCTTGTGTGTGGAGCTGTGTAGGCTGGTGAATCCAGAAACTACAGAACAAGCCAAGTTCTTACGTCCTTCTTTCTCCCTCAGCTCTCCCTCCTCCACTAAGTGAAAAATGAACAAATCCCAGGTGAGTTTTTTTTTTATTCCCACTTTATCTAAAATGAGTTTTCTAAAGTTTTTAAAGGTTTATTAAACTGTCTGTCAGCTCATTTGTGTTTCTAGCTTCAGTAGCAGATAGTCCTCGCTTTTGTTTCTGCATTTCCATTAAATTTCAATCTAATACATGCAGTCTTGTTCCTTCAATACTTCTCCACCTGAATCATTTCTGGAAGAAGCTACCAAATTGTAGTTAAATCCAGTTTTTGTCTTTGTCTTAGTCTTACTGGACCCTCTTGCAGCATTTGATACTATTATGCGTAGTCTGTTTTGAAAGTCTCCTCTATTGTTGTCTATGATGCTATGCTCCTAGTTCTCCTTTTCCTAACTTCTGTGCCTCATGAAATTGCCTTTGCCTTTTGCCCCAACATTGCTTATCCCTGGGTTTATTGCTTATCCATTGTTTCTCTGTTCTTAGACAACTGCTCTTCTCAGATACCTATTTTTCCTAACAACTTTTGTCTTTAAAAATTAAAATACTTTAAAATTGTTAGTATATTAACATGTTTTTTTGTTTTTTTTTTTTTGTTTCTTTGTTTTTTTTAACATGGTTTTTAAAAAATTTAAGCGATACAGAGAAAGTAAAAATTTACATCCCTTCCTCTCTGTACCTTAGGCTTCCTCCAGGTAGGGTGACATTTATTTCTCATCTAAACTGTGTCACTTTCACTGAGAGTGAGAGAGGTTTTATTAACAATTATGCTGGAACAACTGGCATATATTGGGACAGTCCCAGATGAACTGCAGTGTATTGTCACTCAGCTATAGGTATACATTATTTCTGGTTTTTTGTTTGTCCTTCCAGTGTTTCTTTATTCAGTTGAAAGAAAGTTTGTGCCCTCATCTTTTATTTAAAAGGGAATCTATTATAATTAGGGCTTTTTAAGTTTAGATACACCTGTACATACCTGGCAATGTCTTAAAATGCAGATTTTAATTCAGTAGATCTGGGTGGGGCCTTGGAACGTGCATTTCTAATTAGATGGAGCTGATTCTGCTGCTCAGAGAACCACACTAAGTAGTGAGTCTAAACAGTTTCCCATTCTTTCTTTCTTTTTTTTTGGTTGCTTTTTTCAGTTCTTTTTTCAGCTTGTCCCAGGGACTCTTTCTGTAACAGAACATGGATTACTTCTTTCTTTGTTATAATCACATAGAAATTCAATTCTGAATGTTCCATAGTTTATTAAACTAGTAATTAACTATTCCAACCTTTTGCTACTACAAACTATGTTTTAATGAATAACTTTGTATATTAGGTTTATTCTATCATATACATTCCTAGAAATGAGATTTATTCTGTCAGGTAAATCCCCAGAAATGATATTTTGGAATATATAAATTCCCAAAGGGTTGACTACAATTGATAAACTTTATCTGTTTGGTGGGATTATAGATACTTTGTATTTACATTGGCATTGCACGAGAGTGCTTTTTCTCCACAGCTTCTCCCATAGAAATAATGTGGTTCACTTTTGGATTTTGATATCTGATAGGTAAAAATTAGTATTTTATGTAGTTTACATCTGTAATTATCCTAACGCTGAGTGGGGTTGAAGATTTTTTTCACATATCTAAAAGATGCCCTGTTTTTATGTTTCTGTGATCCGTTCATATCTTTTACCCATTTTGCTCTTAGGTTTCTGGCTTTTTTTTCTTTTTTTCAATGTCTGGTTAGCTCTTTGCATGTTAGTGATACTAATGCTTGTCTTTCATATGAGTTACAGAATATTATTTTCTTGTATATCATTTGTCTTTTGATAAGTGTTCCTGGTTTCCCTCCCCTCCCCATGCAGGTGTCTGCTTCAGGATACCACATTTCACTTAGTCATCATGTTTCCTTAGGCTCCCCTTGGCTGTGACAGTTCCTCAAATTTCCCTTGTTTTTGATGACCTTGTCAGTTTTGAGGAGTATAAATCAGGTGTTTTGTAGAATGTCCTTCACATGGGAATTGTCTTACTATTTTTCCTGTGATTATATTGGGGTAATTGTTTTCTTGGAGAAAGACCACAGAGGTAAAATGTCATTTGGTCATGTCTTATCAGGGGTAAATTCTCTCACATGACTTTTCACTTTTCAACAAATGATGTACCGCTGTTGATCACCAGCCTGAAGCTGTGCGGTATTAACTTTCTCCAAGGTAAAGTTACTCTTTTTTCCCTTTGTTTTCATAATATACTGTTTGGAAGGAAGTGAGGGGTTATACCACCCCTCCTTCTCAGTGGAGTATTCACATAAATTATTAGGCATTCTGCACAGATTTTTCTATTTATTAACTCAGTCAGTGTTTATTATCAATATGAACTCATGGCTAGTTATTTTTTTTTACTTATTATAGTCCAGTACTACCTTATTACTTTGTTGCTCAAATTGTTTGTTCCAGCTTGGTTATTAAATAGAGCACTTTCAACAAATCCCATTGTTGTGTTTTTGTTTGAGTACTTCTGTACTTTCTGGTGATAGAAGATATTCCAGGCCCATATTTCCTGCCCTAGATTAAGCCATTTCCCCTAAAGAGCTCTGCTTCCTTTTATTGGAGCATGGTATTAGAAACCAAGATGGGGGGCTCAGTATGCTACTGGTTTGTAATTCCTTATAGATCATGTCAGCTGACTGTAAAGAAAATATATATATACTAACACATATCTGAATATTTCAGTATGAACCATCTGTGCTTATATTAAGCTAAGTTGTTAGTGCACACTCATGTCTCCTGCTGTAATCATTACCACCTGAAACATTCTGACTTTGTCCGCTTGCTTGTCTGTAACTCCCACTCCAGCAGTCGGGCCTCCACCTTCCTCATTTCATTTACTTAATTGTTCAATTCCAGCATACATATATAAGTTATTTCAAAGTTACTAACCTATGGACTCTTGGTTCCTTCCGGTTTTTGGTCATTATGCATTAAGCTGCTAGAAACATATGTAGGTTTTTACATAGATAACATGTTTTCAAATAACTAGAGTGTGAAATTAAAAATACTTGATCATATGTTAAGACTTCAGCTTTGTATGAGGTTGAAACTACCCAATTATTTTACAAAAGTGCTGCATCATTTTATATTTCTAACTATGAATGAGAATTCCTCTTGTTCTGCATCTGGACCTGAAATTGACATTGTCATTGTTTTAGATTTAATGGTTCTAATAAATGTGTTATGGTATCTCACTTTTGTTTTAATTCACATTTCCCTAATACACATAATGGGCTTCCCTGGTGACTCAGTGATAAAGAATCCGCCTGCCAATGCAGCAGATGTGGGTTTGATCCCTGGGTAAGGAATATCCCCTGGAGAAGGAAATGGCAATTCACTGCAGTATTCTTGCTGGGAAATCCCCTGGACAAAGGAGGCTGATGGGCTACAGTCTATGGGGTCACAAAGAGTTAGACACAACTTAGTGACTAAACAACAACAATGACAAGTGATATTGAGCATTTGTTCATAAATTTATGAACTATCTGTATGTCTTTACATGACCTGTTCACATTTTTTGTCCATTTTCAATTAGGCAATTTATTTTCTTACTATTAAGTTTTCAGAATTCTTTTGTATGTTTTAAATGCAACTTCTTTATTAGATATGTACGTTGAAAATATTTTCTCCCAGTCTATGGCTTGTCTTTTCATTTTCTTAGAAATGAAATGGGCCTCTTTCACCAATAACACACTGTCTTGGTTATTTATTGTTGTTGTTTGGTCATTCAAAGTGCCCAACTCTTTGCGACCCCATGGGCTGCAGCACCATCTCCCAGAGCTTGCTTAAACTCATGTCCACTGAGTCTGTGATGCCATCCAACCATCTCATCCTCTGTCATCCCCTTCTCCTCCTGCCTTCAATCTTCCCCAGCATCAGCATCTTTTCCAGTGAGTCAGTTCTTAGCATCAGGTGGTGAAAGTATTGGAGCTTCAGCTTTAGCATCAATCCTTCCAATGAATATTCAGGGTTGATTTCCCTTAGGATTGACTGGTTTGATCTTGCAGTCCAGGGTACTCTCAAGAGTCTTCTCCAGCACCACAGTTTGAAGGCATCAATTCTTCAGAGCTCAGCCTTTTTTATTGTCCAACTCTCACATCCATACACGGCTACTGGAAGAACCACAACTTCGACTATATGGACCTTTGTAGACTAAATAATGTCTGTTTTTTAATATGCTGTCTAGGTTTGTTATCGCTTTTCTTCCAAGGAGCAAGTGTCTTTTAATTTTATTCTTTTCCTTTTTGCAGAGTCTTTGGGATTTTCTACATAGACAATCGTGTTGACTTCAGATAAAGACAGTTTTCTTTTTTCTTCCTAATCATCTACCTTTTATTTCAGGTTTTTCTGTTTGTTTTGTTTTTGGTCTTTTTGTACTAGCTAGGACTTGAATAATAGTCTTGAAATAGGGCATCCTTGCTCTTTTCCTGCACTTCAGGGAAAAGTGTCATCTCCTAACATTAAGTATTGAGAGGGTAACAGGCAGGAAGGTCAGGGGTCTCCAAAAGGAGGAAATAGGCTGCAAGTATCAGACTTTTTTTAAAAAATCTCTCTCTTAACAGCAGAAGAAAATAAGGTAGTGATTTTTTACCCTTCTCTACACAAATTTAAAAAGAGGTTTCTCTTAAAATACTGTGTTGCTGTAATGACACCTGTTTCCACCTGAACTTAACTTTTCTCAAATTTTGAGCTAACAAATACATTTTTCTTATGGAAATGTTTGTCTTAAGCTATGTTAACGTACTATACATTTACCCCAGACTCTGTGTTCATGTTGGTTGGCCTAAAGGCTTAGAACTGACTTGACAAACCACTGTGTTATCCTCATACGTTGTTCTCCTAATCCATGTAAATGAAACTATTTGTATGGTAATCTGCCTTTATACAAGATTCAAGTCAAATCTTTTATGGCCCCATGACCTCCCTGATGCCAAGATTATCTCAAAATGCTTCTTGTGGGTGAGGGACCTGGTGCCATTCTCTGAGTTTTGAGACA